TCCCGTCCAGAAATTAAAGTCTATTCCTTGAGGGGGTTTAAGCATCAGAGTTAACCCCCAGACTCTTATCTGCGGCTGCCTGTGTTGGCTTTGCTCTCTTTGGCCTTTTCCTTTTCGCTACCGGCATGAAGGCCAAGTATGTTTTGTAGAGAAACTAGGACTGATCTCGAAGAAAGACAGGGACCTTCTTAAAGTATATATAGATACTAACCGTCCCCTGCCACATGTTGCTGTGGCCCAGTCTGGTGATCTGGCAAATAAAGTAATGAGAAAGTGTTGGTTTCTAATCTTTCAAATCTATGATACTGCATCTGTGTGTGTGAATCATATATATCTATGGCTGGATGGCTCTCTGTCAGGAGGGCTTTGATTATGTTTTCTTGCCCTGGTGAAGGGATTTAGACTGAATGGCCTTAAGTATTTTCTATTGCTCGTGGGGATTCTGTGTGGGAGGTTTGGCCCAATTGTGTCGTTTGTGGGGTTCAGAATGCTATTTGATTGTAGGTGAACTATAAATCCCAGTAACTACAACTCCCAAATGTCAAGGTCTATTTCCCCCAAGTTCCATTTGTGTTCCTAGTTGGGCATATGGAGTATTTGTGCCAAGTTTCCACCAGGGAGATCTTCTTTTTTTTTTCTTCAAACTGGAATCATGAATAGGAATTTTTGGAAGGACGCTTGCGGCATATGAATGTGCGGCATACAAAACCAGGCTGAGTTAAACAACAAAATCACAGCAAAATTATGGATGCGCCCAAGGCATATTTGGCTCAGAGAACTGAGTATTAGATGAATGGAATAGGGCAGTGTTTCTCAACCTGGGGGTCGGGATCCCTGGGGGGGGGGGGTCGAAGGGGGTGTCACAAGGGTCGCCAAAGATGATCAGAAAACAGCATTTTCTGTTGGTGATGGGCGTTCTGTGTGGGAAGTTTGGCCCAATTCAGAATGTTGATGGTAGCAACTACAACTCCCGAACATCAATGTCTATTTCCCCCAAACTCCACAAGTGTTCATCTTTGGGGCCTATTGAGTATTTGTGCCAAGTTTGGTCCAGATCCATCATTGTTTGAGTCCACAGTGCTCTCTGGATGTAGGTGAACTACAACTCCCAAACTCAAGGTCAATGCCTACCAAACCCTTCTAGTCTTTTCTGTTGGTCATGGGAGTCCTGTGTGCCATGTTTGGTTCAATTCCATCATTGGTGGAGTTCAGAATGCTCTCTGATTGTAGGTTAACTATAAATCCCAGCAACTACAACTCCCAAATGACAAACTCAATGTTTTGAGAGATAGTCACTCCTTGGTTTAGTACGTGTATGGTGTGTCCAAATTTGGCAGCAATTTGCCCTGTGGTTTTTGAGTTATGTTAATCCCACAAACGAACATTACATTTTTATTTATATAGACTAACTGTCCCCTGCCATGTGTTGCTGTGGCCCAGTTTGTGTATATGTGTTTTGTGTGTGTATATATGTGTTTATGTCTGCGTATATATTTGTGTATACGTGTATATATGTGTGTTTGTGTGTGTATATATGTGTGTGAGTGTGTACTTGTGTATATATTTGTGTATTTGTGCTTATATGTGTATATGTATATTGTGTATATGTGTGTTCTTGTGTATATACATATATGTGTGTATATATGTGTGTATGTGTATATGTGTGTTGGTGTATATGTATGTATGTATATGTGTATATTTGTGTTTGCTTGCATATATATGTGTGTCTGTATGTATGTGCATGTGTATATGTATATTTCTGTGTTTATATGTGCATATGTATATTGTGTATATGTGTGTGCTTGTGTATATGCATATATGTATGTATATGTGTGTGTATGTATGTGTAGGTGTATATGTATGTGTGTATATGTGTACATTTGTGTGTGCTTGCGTATATATGTGTGTGTATGTATGTGTGCATGGGTATATGTATATTTCTGTGTATATATGTGTATACATATATTGTGTATACGTGTGTGCTTGTGTATATGCATATATGTGTGTTTATATGTGTGTATGTATATATATGTATGTGTAGATGTATATGTAGGTGTGTATATTTGTGTGTGCTTTCGTATATGTATATGAATGTATGTGTATATGTATATATGGTTTATTTTGGGGACTTTTAAAGTCCGTTCTGCTGGTTTTCTTGTGTGTTTTTAGGGGTGATGGTCACTTGTTGGCCTGATAGGTGTCTTGTGTCCAAATTTGCTGGGAGCAGGCTTCCTTTCTTCTGCCCTAGAGACTAGAACGCAATGAAAGAATGGCTCCAAACTACAGCCAAGGAGATTCCACCTGAACATTCGGAAGAACTTCCTAACTGTGTGAGAGATCTGTTCAGCAGTGGAACTCTCTCTCTTCCCAGGAGGCTCATTCTTTGGAGGCTTTAAAACAGAGGATGGATGGCCATCTGTCGGGAGTACTTTGAATGAGATCTTCCTGCTTCCTGACAGATTGGGGTTGGACTGGATGGCCCACGAGATCTCTTCCAATTCTATGATTCTATCAGAGCTCAAGAAGGGAGAAGGTTGCCTAAGGAAGTTATCACTTTTGGGAAATACTTCTATCCACCCTTCACCTCCTTCAACACTACTTTTCAGCCTGAACATCCAAATGGGAGAATGTTTGATTGTAACGGCTGCTTTTGCCTATGCGGTGTGATCCAAGAAGGTGGAAGATGGAGACCTCCCCAAGGGAGATGGGCTCGCTCTCTTTTGGCCTCCTCGATACAGCTGTCAACAGGAGTGTGAAATCGACAACCATAAAAAGCCAAGTCTGGAAGCAGAAATGTCATTGATCTCAACGGGCGGAATCGTTGTGTCATCTCTGACACAGTTGAGGAATCTGAGGCAGAGCTGACATTTTATTATGATTTTCAAAAACACTATCGGCCCATGAACTGAGGACAAGCCTGAGCTGTTTATCGTAAACTCCCGACTCTTTGGTTGTTGTAAGTTTTTTCTAGAAGCATTCTCTCCTGACGTTTCGCCTGCATCTATGAGAGGCGCCCTCATATTATTTATTTATTTATTTATTTACTAGCCGTCCCCTGCCACACATTGCTGTGGCCCACTCTGGTGGTCATGAGGGTTCTTGTGGGAGGTTTGGCCCAATTCTATCGTTGGTGGGGTTCAGAATGACTAGGTGAACTATAAATCCCAGAAACTACAACTCCCAAATGTCCAGATTCTATTTTCCCCAAACTCCACCAGTGTTCACATTTGGGCATATTGAGTATTCGTGTAGAGTTTGGTCCAGATCCATCATTGTTTGAGTCCACAGTGATCTCTGGATGTAGGTGAACTACAACTCCAAAACCCAAGGACACTGCCCACCAAACCCTTCCAGTATTTTCTGTTGGTCATGGGAGTTCTGTGTGCCAAGTTTGGTTCAATTCCATCGTTGGTGGGGTTCAGAATGCTCTTTGATTGTAGGTGAACTATAAATCCCAGCAACTACAACTCCCAAATGACAAAATCAATTTTTTGAGTGAAGGACATACATTGTGTTGTTAAGTGGTTTTTGAGTTCTGTTAAACGCACAAATGAACATTACATTTTTATTTATATAGAAGTGTGGGTTTTTGTTTTTTGATTTTTTTTTGGGGGGAGGGGTTTGCACTGGTTCAATTCCATATCGCTGGGGTTCAGAATGCTCTTTGATTGTAGGTGAACTATAAATCCCAGCAACTACAACTCCCAAATGATAAAATCAAATTTTTGGGTTGTTAGGTGTATGTTGTCCAAATTTGGTGTCAATTCGTTCAGTGGTTTTTGAGTTTTGTTAATCCCACAAACAAATATTACATTTTAAAATATAGATTTACAGTATTTATATACCGCCCTTCTCACTCCGCAGGGGACTCAGGGCGGATCACAATGCACATCTACATGGCAGACATTCAATTCCATAGACACACAACATATATACACAAACACACAAAGGCTATTTAACTTTTCAGCTTCATGAGGGTATGATTTTTGAATTCCGGCCACCGGGGGAGCTGTCGCTTCACCATCCACTTGTGACACCAATTGAGTACTTCCTCATTCTTTTGTCCGCTGCTGGAGAATTTTATGGCGTCGTAAATTAGTTAAATCGGCCTCCCCACATAAGTGGTACCTACATTTCCTACTTGACAGATGCAACTGTCTTTCGGGCTGCAAAGAGGGAAGAGAGAGGGGGCTACAGCTGAAAACAGTTCCACCTTGTCTCCTCTGCTTTACTAATAATATAATATAATATATCGTATATACATATAATACTTATAATATTATAATGTAATACAATATAATGCTACTACTACTAATAACAATACAATATTATAATTATATATTTTCTATTACATGTAGTATTACTAATAACATTACAATATAATGGTGTAGTACAATATAGTAATATATAATAATACTGATATTGTACTATGATAATAATGTAATATATTGTATGTATATATATCTTGTAAGTGGCTCCGAGCCCCCTTCGGGGTGAGAAGGATGGCATATAAATGTCGTAAATAAATAAAGGTCAACAGCAAGCTAGACAAATGGTCGGGAGCTTACTCTGACCTGGGCTGGCTTCGAACTCATGCCCTTTTGGTCAGTAGTGATTTTAATGCAGCTGACGCCCAACCAGCTGTGTCACAACCCGGTCACAGAGGTTGTGAGGTCTGTTAAAACTAGGAAAATGGGGTTTATATACCAGGTATCTGTGGAAAGTCCAGGGTGGGAGAAAGAACTCTTTGTCTGTTGGAGGTAGGTGTGAATATTTCAATTGGCCACCTTGATTAGCATATGATGGCCTGACTGTTTTTAGGTGTGGCTTGTTGCTCTGAATGCCATCTAACCCAGTGTTTGTTACTCTGTTGTTGCAGGCCCATTCTTTTAATTTATCTTTTTCGTTTAAAGACACGGCTTCTTTGTACACGTTTCATATCACCTGCTTTTTCTTTTGCCTGTGCTTCATTGCTCATACCATTCCATACTTCTGTTTAGTTTCTGGAAAGCCCGGAAGCCAGCCGGACTCTGACCGAAGGTTTTGACGACGAGACAAGTCAGGGCCCCGAGATGGTCGGCGAGGTGGGATTTTGTCAATTTTTGTCAATGTGTTTTTTGTCATTCTGTGTTTTGTTTATTATTATTATTATTATTATTATTATTATTATTATTATTATAAAACATTATTTATTATTATTATTATAAACATAATAAGATTAGTACAAACAAGGTCGCTATGCAGGCTGTTGTACTGGATCACACTTCAGACACTTTCCAAGTGTCTAGGACTATGTGATGTATCGGCGAATAATGTGTGCAGATCCCAGTAGTGTGGTAATTTTGTCAGCACCAATTGTTTTTAAGTGCAGGCCAAGGTCTTGAGGCACTGCACCCAGTGTGCCGATCACCACTGGGACCACCTTGACTGGCTTGTGCCAGAGTCTTAGTTCGATCTTTAAATTTTCGTATTGCTTCAGTGTTTCCAGTTGTTTCTCTTCAATCCTGCTGTCTCCTGGGATTGCAACATCGACGAGCCATACTTTGTTTTTTAACACAATTGTGAGGTCAGGAGTGTTGTGCTCCAAAACTCTTGTCAATCTGTATTCGGTCTAGGGGATGCTGGGAGCTGTAGTCTGGAAGAGTTTGTGGATATGCTATTGTGTGTGTATGTGTGTGTGTGTTTTTTTTTTGCCAGGGGGAGTAGTTTTTGTGCATGCGGTGTAGCGTCTTTTTGCTTTTTTGGCCATTTAAGTCCCTTCTGTTATGTTTTCCAGTGTTTTTATGAGTGATGGTCACTCGTTGGCCTGATATATATCTTGTGTCCAAATTTGGTGTCAATTTGTGCAGTGGTTTTTGAGTTATGTTAATCCCACAAACGAACATTACATTGTATTGTCGAAGGGTTTCATGGCTGGAATCACTAGGTTCTTGTGGGTTTTTTCGGGCTATATGGCCATGTTCTAGAGGCATTTCTCCTGACGTTTCGCCTGAAACATTCACACCTAGCTCCAGCAGAGAAGAACTCTTTGCCCCACCCCAGTCATTCCACAGATATATAAACCCATTGTCCTAATTCCAACAGACCTCACTACCTCTGAGGATGCTTGCCATAGATGCAGGCGAAACGTCAGGAGAAAATGCCTCTAGAACATGGCCATATAGCCCGAAAAAACCCACAAGAACCTGAACATTACATTTTTATTTATATAGACTAGCCACCCCCTGCCGCTCATTGCTGTGCCCCAGTCTGTGTATATGTCTTTTGTGTGTGTATATGCGTATATATTAGGCCTGGGCAATCCATGGTTCTAAATGGTTCTAAAGTACTTACAAAACTAAAGTTCTGGTGGTGAAAATTTCAGAACTCTAACAAAACTTTCAAAATTTAATTATTATTTAATTATTGGTGATTTTTATGACAGAACCAATTAGGAACTGCCATTTATAATGAAATTTTGAGAGTTTTGTTAGAGTTCTGAAATTTTCACCACCAACTTTAGTTTTGTAAGTACTTTAGAACCATTTAGAACTATGCATTGCCCAGGCCTATATGTGTGTTTGTGTATATATATATGGTTTTGCACATGCGTTGTTATCTATCTATCTATCTGTCTGTCTATCTATCTATCTATCTATCTATCTATCTATCTATCTAATCTGCGGTGTTTTCCAGAGTTTTATGAGTGATGATCACTTGTTGGCCTGATAGGTGTATTGTGTCCAAATTTGGTGTCAGTTCGTCCAGTGGTTTTTGAGTTATGTTAATCCCACAAACGAACATTACATTTTTATTTATATAGATAGCTGAAGCATTTTTTTACGGAGTCGACTGTAAACACTGCACATTGTTGCTAACAGATTTGTGTAATCAAAAAACTTGATTTTACTTTTGCCACTTATCTCGTGACCCTCATCATTGAGCTAAGCTTTATCACATTTGGGGTCGGGACCAACAGTTTGGGAATTCAAATTATACCCACAGTGCTCCCTTCAACCTTGTTGCTATTACCTCTGTTGCTCTTTCCCTTCTAGAAACGTTCTCTTTCGTGAGCGCAATAACCATATCGAATCGGGTGTTCATTAGTCTCGGTAATCATGAATCGTATGTGGGGTATGATTACACGGTCCATCTTTATCATGGAGATTAAACATTTCTGAGATGATAAAAGTCTTATTATGCAAGTGATCACAACCCTCAGAGTAATAGAACATTGGTATACGTGTCTCGAGGGGGGCTTTCCCTCTAATATGGTAACAACACATTTTTCCCCTGCAGGTAATTCCGTCTGACTATCCGGATAGACAGGGTAGGAATCTAAATAAGTCCGGGCTCAAAGATGAGCCGGCTGACGGCGCAGACTTCCCTGGTGATGAATGTGAAGCTCAAGAGGGGCGTTCGGAAGCTGCGTCTCTTTTCAGTGGATCGAGGTGAGCAGTAGGCACGGATAGAGCTGCATCGGATAACTTGTTGCTCGTAATAATTTCGTTAAGGATTTTAAAAATCCGTGTGTGTTATTGTTTATTGTTTATATGTGATTTATATTAACTGTATTGTATTGTTCTTGTTTATTGCTTTCTTGTTTTTATTGATGAGTTGTTGGGCTTGGCCTCATGTAAGCTGCTCCGAGTCCCTTGGGGAGATGGCGGTGGGGTATAAATAAAGTTTTTTTAAAAAAATATTATTATTGTATTGTCGAAGGCTTTCATGGCCGGAATCACTGGGTTGTTGTAGGTTTTTCCGGGTTATATGGCCATGTTCTGGAGGCAATTTTTCTCCTGACATTTCGCCTTCATCTATGGTAAGCATCCTCAGAGGTAGTGAGGTCTGTTGGAAGTAGGAAAAGTGGGTTTATATATCTGTGGAATGACCAGGGTGAGACAAAGGACTTTTGTCTGCTAGGGCTAGGTGTGAATATTTCAGCTGCTCACCTTGATTAGCATTCAATGGCTTGGAAGTGCTTGGGGGGAATCTTTTGTTGAGAGTGATTTTATGTGCCTGTTTATTATTATTGTGCCTGTTTATTATTATAATTATTAAAAACCAGAAGTCCCTTTTCCCTTCGGAAGCTTTTCCGCCATTTTTGTAACGACTCAGGAAGTGAGTCGGAAATGATTCCGGGTATTTTCAGCACTTTACTAGCTTGCTGGGAGGCAAGCAGCTTGCATGCTGGGAGGCTCCTTGCCTCCAACCAATCAGGAGAGAAGTTTTGGGGGAGCACATGGCTCAGAGGCTCATTCGGAGAGATTGGCAGCCATTTCAAGCCACCATGCAATTAAGTAATTAGGAGAGGCATTGGCGGCAAGGTGGCACAGGGCCAGGCGCTGGCAGAGAAAGCGCTCCAGGACGCTAGAGATAAATAGACAAAATGAGAACTGCTAAAAAAGGACCTCCTCCAGAGCACGACCTGGACACTTAAAGTGGTCACACGAAAGGAGTTAGGAAAACCATGAGCTGGGGAGTCAGGGAGGATTTGGAAAACATCAACAACAACTTCACCGAAACCTTTTTATTATTATTTTATATCCAAAGTATTGCATAAATAAACAAGTATAAATCTGGGCTGTTGTAAGTTTTCCGGGCTGTCTGGACATGTTCCTGAAGCATTCTCTCCTGACGTTTCACCTGCATCTATGGCAGGCATCCTCAGAGATTGTGAGGTCTGTTGGAAACTAGGACAGCGGTTTATATATCTGTGGAATGTCCAGGTTGGGAGGAAGAACTCTTCTCTGTTGGAGCTAGGTGGTCCCAGTCAGGGTTGGCTTGAGGTGCCTTCCTCTTGGCACATTTCTCCCTTTCATCCTCCATTCGTGCCTCTTCAAATTCTGCAGCACTGCTGGTCACAGCTGACCTCCAGTTAGAACGCTCAAGGGCCAGGTCTCCCCAGTTCTCGGTGTCTATACCACAGTTTTTGAGGTTGACTTTAAGCCCATCTTGAAATCGCTTTTCATGTCCACCAACATTCCATTTTCTGTTCTTGAGTTCGGAGTAGAACAACTTCTTTGAGGGATGGTGGTCGGGCATTCAGAGTTGATGACGGAGGATCATCGCTTCAATACTGGTGGCCTTTGCTTCTTCCATCACGCTGACATGAGACGTCGTTGTCTCATATACTTTATATAGATGACATAATAGAGAGATTGGTCTGTAGTTCCTGGCATTGGAGGCGTTATTATTATTATTATTATTATTATTATTATTATTATTTACCGCATTTCCAGAGGCAACTCAAGGCAGTTCAGTCAGCAGCGATTCGCTGCCATAACAAATATCAAAATACAATTAAAACAATTATAAAAAACAATTCAACATTTAAAATCTAATATAAAAAGTAGACAGGAGCCCCCAGTGGCGCAGTGGGTTAAACCCCTCTGCTGGCAGGACTGAAGACCGACAGGTCACAGGTTCGAATCCAGGGAGAGCGTGGACGAGCTTCCTCTATCAGCTCCAGCTCCTCATGCAGGGACATGAGAGAAGCCTCCCACAAGGATGATAAAACATCAAAACATCCGGGCATCCCCTGGGCAACGTCCTTGCAGACGGCCAATTCTCTCACACCAGAAGCAACTTGCAGTTTCTCAAGTCGCTCCTGACATGACCAAAAAAAAAAGAAAAGAAGAAGCAAATATATCTGTAAAACCTGTATTTTCCAGGTTTTAAAATGGCCATGATCTTAGTTTTCACTCCATAGTTTGGGGATCTGTTTGTGTGCCAAGCATGCAAAAATTCAAAAGTCGAAACTAAGAACATGAATTTCGACAGGGAGATCTTCAAATATCTCCAATATTGACTCATTTCTCCAATTTGCTTGAAACTTTGCTAACAAGCATTTCCGATCCCGGCTCCCCATCCTTTCTCTTCCACCCACAAGCTTTTGAGTACTCCAGCCCTACACGCAGTCCTTTTTCTATTGCCTCTCCGTAAATTCTCTCGGCATGATTGGTGCCAATGCAGTGGGACTGGGGTAATCTTAATTCTCACGAATGGCATTAAGACGCCAGTGTGGAGGCATTAAAAACGTACTTAGCATTCTCTCGTTCAAATGCCAGCCTCCTAAATGCCGCTGTTCTCAGCAGCCTGTTGTATTTCAACATGTCTTTATTGATACTCAGGAAACAAAGAAGGGAATTTGTTTTCCGTGTCTTAATCTCCTTTGTTTATATGCCATTCAGTTGCAAAATGGCTTGTCCAAACAGAGGTCAAAACTGGAAGATGTTTTGTGTATGTTCTGAGTAGCCTTGAGTATTTAGAGGGATATTTTGACCGCTAGTAAAACTGAATTTAGGATTGTGCACAGTGATGTTCTGCACGTATGAATTCAATCCGAACACTTACAATCAGAACATTCCTGCCTCTGAACATCTACAGAGTCCCCTCGGGAAGATAGGGTGGGTTATAAATAAAGTATATATTGTTGTTGTTGTTGTTGTTGTTATTGTTGTTAGAGATTATAGTTGATGTAAACATGTCAATTCTGAGATCTGAATATACAAAACTGTCTTTGGGTAACTGGTAGAGATGTGCACGGAATTCGTTCTTACCGTTTCTTTTGTGTCTTCCAAAAGTGTGCCCTCCTCACATGAAACTCAGCTCAACATGAAAGCCTGCTTTCATGTGGAGCTGTAATTCCATGCGTGCACGCTTTCCTGTCGTAGTTAACTGTGAATCACACATTGTGGTATTCCTGCGCCAGCGCAGGCCAGCTTCGGAACCTTCTAGAAAGCTCAAACAAATGTATCCCCCTCGTGGCTCCACCTCCCCCCCTCTCAAGTATATAAGGCCCGAGTGGAGCCCGCCCTCCATCCTCTTTTTTCCGCCGTTAGCAGATAACAGCTAAGACGAACCTCTAGTTTTGACTTTCTGGCTAACTGACACGGATTGCTATTGGACTTTGTAGTTTCTCTGATCCCCCTCGACCCGGACTGCTTCAGGATTTTCTCTCGCCGCATCCCTGGTCGGGCTTTTTCTGGCTGGCAAGATGGCTACCACCTCCTTCAAGAGGTGCTCTGCGTGCCCCAATGTGCTCCCGGACGCTGACGGGCACAGCCTCTGCCTGACTTGCCTGGGAGAGGGGCACCTCTCCCAGTCCTGTGCTGTTTGTGCGGCCTTCACTCCGCAAACGCGGAAGAGCAGAGAGCTCAGACTGAAAGCGGCTCTTTACGAAAGAGCCTTGATGCCTGACATTCCAACTCCCCGTGCGTCGGGAGAGAATGCTGCTCCGTCACTTGGGGCCAGACCGGACTCTGCAGCCCCTAAAAAGAAGGCCAAAAAGCAAGGGGAAAAGGCCAAACAAGATGGCCGCGCGTTGCCCGCCCAAGAAAAGGCCTCTGAGAAAAGGGCGGGAAAGGCACCAACTGCTCCTTCAGCGTCATCAGAGAGGAGCCCTCTTCCTCCCGTGCCACAGGGAACCCGACCCTCCCCCAGGCAGACTCTACACTTACCGGCAGCGACCGAGCCCTCGGCTCCGATCCGGTCTCCACCTATCCTGGCGAGAGAGACCTTTCACGATGTGCGGTCCCCAGAGGCATCACGGCCTCCCGCCGGCATCGACTTGCCGACCTCGGCCGAGCTCCACCTCCTCGACGCCGAGATGCCTCCTTCCCCTGAGGGCGTGGCTTCCGGCTGGGAGCCGCTCGCCCCCTCCGCAGGGAGGGCGGAGGAAGGAGCTGTGACGTCAGCGGAACTCCTCCCAACGCCGAGGGAAGAGCCCTCCTTTGCCATCCCTGCGGCTCCGGCGCCCAGAAAACACAAGGAGAAGCGGGGAAGTAACAGAAGGAGGAGATCCCGTTCGCCTTCGCGCCGCAGCAAGAGGCGCGGCGAATCTCGGCGCCGTCGGCTATCGAAGGGTGGGTCCCGGGCGGGATCGCCCTCCTCCTCATCAAGC